AAAATATTTGTTTCCACAAGGGGGCGCCATTATCCTATTTTTCAAGTTTCTCTTTTTATGCACTGCACGTTTTGTCTTTTTTTTTTTTTTTTTTTTTTAACACTCAAATGGAGCAATTAACTTGTATTTTGGTTCTTTCTCTTTGTTTTTCTTTTTCAATACTGGGATCAAACATAGTGCCTTCTATATGTAGCCAAGTAAGTATAATACATCTTGAGCTACATCCTACTTGTTTCTCTTAGGCACTTAACATCACTATAAAAACTTTTGAGAGTTAAACATAGTGGAAGAATTAGTACTGAAATGAGAGCTAAGGTCCTGGGTGGGTCAAACTTGGGGACAAAGAACTCATGAGCATTTCACAGACCTCATATGGAATTCAAGATAAAAGCTGGGTATTGGTGGCTCATGCCTATAACCCTAGCTACTTAGGATGCTAAGATCTGAGGGCTGTGGTTCAAATCCAGCCCAGGTAGGAAAGTCTGTGAAACTCTCATCTCTCATCAATTAACCACTAAAAAGTTGGAAGTGGCACTGTGGTTCAAATGGTAGATTACTTGCCTTGAGCACCAAAGCTCAGGGATAGTGCCAAGGCTCTGAGCTCAAGCCTCAGGACACACACTCTCTCTCTCTCTCTCTCCCTGCCTCCCTCTCTCTCTCTCTCTCTTTCTCTCCACACACACACACACACACACACACATACACACACACACAAAGAATTCAAAAATAAAAACAACCCCCCCAAAAAAGAAAAGCCACCACCACCAAAAACCCCCAAAAGCAAAAGTCGGGGTCTTTAATACTAGGTTCATAATTTGACTTAAATTCAATAATAATTAGGTTTCTAAACTCCACTAACATCCTCTTAAAGCTAAAGATGAATTTAAAAAATATATCATATGTATCGTTTTAGCTTCTAGTGTTGATTTTTCCTCTGGATATTCATTCTGTGAACTAGATTTCTTGGGCTTTTAATCACCTGGATTAGAAAAGTACAAGGTCACTGTACCCCCCCCCCCCCCCCCCACCTATGTGAAATCTCCGTCGCCACGCACTGGCCTCCCCTGAAGCACTGGGAGTTGCAAATTAAACTACATTTTATTTGAGTAGAAATGAGAACCACAGGGCACTAGCATTTACTTTGTGCAGCAAGTTTCCTATTTGTTTTGGAGGCTGGTGTATTCAGCGGCCGGAGAGGGAAATGCGAGGCTCACAGTGGTACAGCTGCAGTGGGAAATGTGCTTTGTCCAGCTCTTTTGTGCTCTGTGGTGGGGAAAAAAAAGTGTCTAGAAGTTACAGGAAGAGAAATGACTGCACGTGTCTAAGTTCGCTTGAGTCTCTGAAGAAATGAGAATTAGACATACGGGCAAAACTGGAACAGATGAGTTGGACATTTTTGTTTTTAGACAAGCCGACTTGTTTTTTTTTTAACATTTTCATTTCTTTAATAAAAATTAATTGGACAACTTGAATGAAATGGAAAAACACCTCGAAAGGTACAAACTATTAATCCTCACTGGAGAAAATAAAGATAACCTGTTTAAGCCTATTCTTATTGGAGAAATTAACTCTGTTCTTAAAGCCATAGGACAAAGAAGATTCTAGGTACAAATGGATTCATTGGTGAACTCTATTAGCGTCTATGAAAGACGTAATGCCAATTTTCACAAACTCTTGCATAAAATTAAGGAGAAAGAAGCCTGGCACAAGTGGCCCTTGCCTTCAAAGCTAGCAATTCAGGAAGTGAGCTCCAGAGAACTGCAGGTCAAAGCCAGCCCAGAACTGCACCAACTTGTTTATTTTATGGAAATCTTTCACTGGGTTAAGTGAAGGCTAACACCTTATAATCTGAATATTAAGTTGAAGTTGAATAATGTTTCTAGTGGTTACTATAAAGTCAGTGTCTTTAGAGCATGGTACTGGGGCTTCAGTGAGTAGAACCCAAATGGCCAGGTATAGAAGCATCCGCTGACAATATCAGCATTGAGCAGATAAACTATGCCTCTCATTGTGGGAGATAAGAGTTAGACATAATCTGCATTGTGTACTAGAGAACAGTCTCTGTAATGACAGTCATCACAACCAGAATGACTTTTAAGTAACATGAAAAAAATCATATCTGGGCTTGGAGCTGTGGTTCAGGGGTGGAACACTAGTCTGGCGTGTGAGAGGCTTTGGTTTGATCTGATCCCAAGCAAAAACCACATACACACAGCAGAGACAAAGAGACAGAGACAGAGAGACGAGAGAGAGAGAGAGAGAGAGAGAGAGAGAGAGAGAGAGAGAGAGATGCTTAGAGTGAAGCTGATGAGGCAGATGGGTTACATAGAGCTAATATTTATTGAGAACTCTATATATGAGGGATAGCGGTTCTAAGTACTTTTAGATTAAATCATTCAGTATATATAAGAACCTTCATCATTACTGATGAGGAACATAAGACCCAGAGAAACTAAGAAATATGGCCAAATTCACAAAGCAATGACTTGAACCTAGGCAGTCATTGGACAAAAACAAAATCAAATGTTTGTGAACAACCTGAAAATGAGTTCTATGGAAGAATTCTGAACAGTGCTATTGTTATTGGGATGTATTGTTCTTCAGCATAGTCACCTGAAGACTTAACCATGAAGTTGGGTGTATACATCTAATGTGTGTGTGTGTGTGTGTGTGCCTGCACACATATACACATGTACACACGGAGTGTATGGCAGTATTTATTTATTTGTTGGTTGTAGGGCTTGAACACGGGGCCTGGGTGCTGTCCTTGAGCTTTATTGCTTAGGGCTAATGCTCTACTACTTTGAGCCACGCACCACTTCTAGCTTTCTGGAGGTTAATTGAAGATGAGAGTCTCACAGACTTTCCTACCTGGGCTGGCTTTGAACTGTGATCCTCAGATCTCAGCCTTCTGAGTAGGTAGGATTAAGGCTTGAGCCACCAGCACCTGGTTTGGGAGTATTTATTTAAGTACAATTACTTTGTGGTTTCATCCACAAACTTCCAAAAAGCTAATGATGACTCACAAACAAGTTTTTCCTATGCTATCAATGGTTAGATCATTAGAAGGCATTAGAGTAGACTTTTAATCTTCTAGTGCTGGTATGCTTTGTATGAAAACACCAGAAATGTATATGTCTTTTGACCTTCAGTCTCAAATTCTGCTTAGGCAGTTAGTAGATGATCAGGCATGGGTTAAGTTACTTCATAAATTGCCCATTTTACTGAGTGAAGAGTTCCTTTTAACCGGGCAACTTATCTATTAGATGGTTTAGGAGTGACATTTTAAACATGTTGGTAAAATGCATAAATCAGAATAAGACTAGTTAGAGAGCGAAGGATGATACATAGGCTTAGGAATGTGCACATAGTGTTTTTGTGGTTAAGAAAATAAATACAGACAGAAATATGAAAACCGAGTTTGTGATAAAACCACTTGTTTTTAGCGCTCGTGAAATATCATGTGATTCCATGATTCTAAACTCTCAAATAGGCATTTAAAACTCAACATATTCATCACAGAACTGATCTTCCTCTCAGTCTTCTACCCCACAGCATACCTCATTTCAATGGATAAGTACTTTTCTCTACCAATTCCCCCACTCCCAACCAGGATGTCCTTCCCTCCTCCTTTCCTTCTTCCATGCCTCCTCACATTCAGTTCATCAGACATTGAGTTACCTTCAAAAACCACCCAGAGCTGGATGTGGCCTACTACCTCTGCAACTTCCCGTCCCTGTCTTCTTTCATTCTTCCCTGAGGTTACTATAGTCAGCCACTAACTGGTCTCCCTGCTTCTACCCTGGTCCAGCCAGTGGGCTCTTCTCAACAGAGAAACCAGAAGAACTGTGTGTTTTGTATACTGGATCACTTCTCACCAGAGTGCCTACTCGGATTTCTGATTGCACTCATGGTCAAGGCGAGGTTCTGAAGGCAGTGCTTGACTATGTAGGATTTGACCATCAATTATGTTTCTGATTTATCCTTTTTTTTAAAAATAATTCTTCATCTTGCTTATTTTCCTCCTGCTTATTTCCTCTTTACTGCTCTTCATGTCAATGACGCCATTCCCACATTTAAGTTATTCCTTCTGTCGGATTAGTCCTCTAGGTAGTCACATGCCTCCCCCTTACCTCTTCCCAGCCTGCCTTCCACAGAGCCTCCTCCTTAATATTCATTCCAGTACTGAGCCTGGCTGATACTGCTTCAGTTTTATCATGATGTTGTAACTTTCAACAGACTATGTAATTTACTCCCTTATTATGCTCCTGGATCCTTCTCTGTGTCCTCGCCCTCTTGGCCCTGGAACAGAGGCTCCATGGCAGGAATCTTTTGTTTGTTTATCATTATACTGTAAGTGCCCAAAACATTTCCTGGGACATGATAGGAACTCAATTAAATAGCTGGTGAATTGTTGAATTTAGATGTTCAGGCCAGGTAAATAGACTTTAAATGTAAGTGGAAAACAACATGCTACTCAGATGCAGTCATACATGGGAGCTATCAATATGACAAATATGGTCAAGAGGAAAGAAGCAGGTATCTGTTTTCTTCACAGACAGGAAGAATTAGGGAATAAAAAAAGGGGACACGTATGTTTTTACCTCAACTATTTAAAAGCTGATGGAATCATGTGAATCTTAGAGCAATACATAGAACCTCTGAGGTTACCCTAGTGAGGAAGGTCCAGTGTAATCAGAGAGCCTATGGGTTATTGCATTGCCAGGCACACAAAAAGTGTTTAGTATCCATTAGCTCTGCTTTGTATAAATGTGTATTACCTTTAGTTCATTTTGAGTAAAATGAATACTATTTTTATGGAAACCTTATACATGCCTTGCATTTCATCTGGCTTTATTTATATGTCTCTTTGGAACAAGAAACCTCATGCTTTTGAAACCTCTGATGAATTGATTTGGTTTATGTCCTAGATATCTGTTTAATAATGTGTTAGGATTGGTATGGGTTCTCAAGAGGTATGTGGGTCTCTTCTTTTTAAGGTGTGGGTGAATTCAGTCACAGAGATGACCAGAGGTGACCTGTGTGCAGAAGATGAGGACTCCTCCCCGCAGGACCTGGTCTACTGGGTTACTCCACCCAGTAATGGGCATCTGGCTCTCAAGTTCCTTCCCAGTCAAAGCATCCAGAACTTCACCCAGGCTCAAATCAATGAGGGCCAACTAGTGTTTGTACATGCCGGTATGTCCTGAGCCAAGCAGCATGGAACTAAAATGTGTTTTGGTCCGTTGTTAGTGTGATATGTATTGATAAGAGATGCTCACTGAAAAATCATATAGAAACTTTCCAAGGCTGTAATGTTTCTTGGTAAAGCCAATAACTGCAAACATTAGAGAGTCCCTGTGACTCCCACATATTATTCAAGTTAGCACGGAAGTCTGGTTATAAACTTTGAGCCTTGTCCTGCCATGTTTGCCATAGCATCTGTTTTCTTGTCATTCTCCGTTTCTTCCCCTCACCTATCATTGGAGATTGACTTGGACATTCATTTTTATTTCTTGCCTGTTTTCCCTATTGCAATGTAAACACACTAAGGACACAGCCTCTTGTATTTTCAGCTTCTGGAACAGTGACTAGTAAACAGTAGTTGTTTAATAAATAAAAATTGTCAAACAAATGACATAAAAAACTAGATGCCCAATGGTACCCACTAGACACTATGTTGAAAATGAACTATACAACTTGTGGGTGGGGATGGGCGGGAAAGACTGAGAGACAGCCAGAGAAGGGGTGGCATTGTCCAAAAAGAAATATATTCTTTATCTAACTTACATAACTGTAATCCCTCTGTACATCACCTTTATAGTAAATTAAAAACAAATTTAAAAAAAGCTAGGTGCCATAGACTCATGACTATAATCCTAGCTACTTAGGAGGCTGAGATCTCAGAATCACGGTTTGGTGTTAGCCTGGGAAGACAAAGCCATGAGATTCTTATCTCCAACTAACCAGCAGAAAGCTGAAAGTGGAGGTATGGCTCAACTGGTAGAGCACCAGCAGTGAGGAAAAAGCTCAAGGCCCTGAGTTCACATTGGGCGCCAGAAACAAAAAAAACCCCAAACTCCCCCTCAACCCCCCCCCCAAATCCACAAAAACAAACAAATAAGAAAACAAAGAAATAATGTGTGAGGTAGTAATGTTCTAGGTGCTGGAAATAACACCAGTGAACAAAGCAAGTATTTGATCAAGGAATGACTACGTGACCAAATGAATGTAACTGTATTTTTGAGAGACTTAGATATTGAAGGCCTTTTCTGCTTTCTTTTGTTCATCAATAAATCAATCAAATGGCTGCCAGGAATCAGCAGAAGGGGTGACTCAGACACACTGCAAAGGTGGCCTGGCTTTGTTTCCAGCTGCTCTTGGTAGCAGCTGGAAGGATTAGGAAGGAGAGAGCATGAGCTTTTCCGATTATCACTATGACTTGTGTGGCACTGGTGTTGAACTCAGGGTCACAGGCCTACAAGGCAAGTACTGTAGTACTTGGGGCATGTCCCCTGCTCCTTCCAATTACTTTCTTTAAAACTATAGTAAAGAAAATAAAAATAAGATTACATCTAAATCTAAATAAGGTAATGTCTTGATTATTTTTGGACTTACCACACAAGATCCCCAAAGAATCCCAAAATAATTTTCTATGTGAATGTCCCCCTCCACTAGTTCCAAACCAATAGATCATAATGTGTGACAGTCAGACCTGTAACGCAATCTTAAATCTACTTACATATATATTGTTTCTAGGCTAGATGACACATGGATACATGTGCATGTTTCCATTCTTAAAGTGTGTACACATGTGCTCAGTAATAAAATACAATTCATTAAAGGGACACTGAATTGAGGTTTCTTCTAATTTTGTATGTTTTTCAGTATTAGGTACCAAAAGGCTAGGTAGTAGTAGGTAAGGGCCTACAACTACGACTTTCTCTTTAAAGAAAGTTTATCATGGTTCTGGGGGTAGCGGCTGTGGAGATGTGTGTGTGTGTGTGTGTGTGTGTGTGTGTGTGTGTCACACCACTTACTTCACATCACCTCCAGAAGTCCCCTGAACACTTGTAATGAGCCCATTTTTGAAATAAAGAAACAGAGTCTTAGAAAGATTAAATTGGCCCAATTCTAAAACTGGGCTTTCTTCAGGAGTTCTCACTCACGGAAGGACAGAGCATGCTGAAAAACCTGGAGTTACTATTTGCCATGAAGGATTTAAATAAGCATGAACTCTCTGGGTTGATTGATTTGTCAATTGCCAGGTCAATATTTGCTTTTGGCAAGTAGAGATGATAATGTCTCCTAGAAAAGCAGGAAGGCAAGTTAAAGGCAAGGTTCACAGGGGGGCTGATGCATTCCATTTTCTAAATGGATGGTGAGGCCAGCTAATCACTTTCAGAGTTGGAAGCCCAGCTGCAGAGGAGCCTTGCTGAAGCCAGCTGCTTCTTCATTGGTGCCTATGTCTGTCCTCAGTCCCAAACAAAGACTGAGGTTTAGTCTCTCTTAGCATTTTGTCTTTGTGAAGTCCTCTGCCATTAAGGTAATTCATTGTGTCGTTTAACCTAAGTGGGTTGAGAAAACCAAGATATGAGAGGCTAAGTGATTACCTGTAGCTTGTCTTTCTCAAAGTACTGTTGGGGAAAATCAGAGACTGTATAATAGGAAATCCGCAGGCAACCCTATTTTTTAAAAAATATAATTTTATTTTTATTATTAAGGTGTTGTACAGAGGGGTTAGCATTTTATAAGCCAGGTAAGGAGTACACCTGTTTTTCTGGACAATGTGATCCCTTCCTTTACTTTCCTCCAGTTTCTTTCTCCAATCCCTGCCCACAAGTTACATAAATCATTTTCCATATAGTGTATACTGAGTAGCAGGATTGCATTTGTTTACCCAAGCAACCTTCTTTTTGTGTTTACGTTTTTATCTTTCTTTGGTCCTGATTAGTTTGTTAGGTCACAATATAATACTCTCTCTCTCTCTCCCTCTCTCTCTCTCTCCCTCTCTCTCTCTCCCTCTCTCTCTCTCTCTCCCCCCATCTCCCTCCCCTCTCTTGTGCGTGCTGTGTGTGCGTGCATGTGTGTGTGTGTGTGTGTGTGTGTGTGTGTGTGTGTGTGTGTCTTGTATTTGCTAGGCACCTGACATACTTCCAGCCCACTTTTGCACTGGTTACTTTTGAGATAGTCTTGTTTCCTTCCTGGGTGTGTACTCCGGGTATGCACCTGAACTGCTATCTGCCCATTTTAACTTCCTGCTGTAGTTAGGATGATAAGTAATGGACTACCACATCCAGCCTCTGTATTGGCTTGGATAGAATTCTTTTGCTTCCCTTTCCATTTTGTTTCTGGGCTTATGAAATATTTAAAGTGCTCATGGTAGGGAATACTCTGTCCTTGATTTTGTGTTTCATTAAGAGCTATTTCTAGAAAAAAATTCTCAAGAAATTGTTCTAGAGCTACTTCTTTTATTTAAAGAGCTATTTCTAGGATAACAAAATTGCAAAATAACATTTGGTTCTGAATTAGGAAGATTCTAAATTTTCTCTCTGTCTTTGTTTTTCTCTCATTGTCAGTATATTGGGAAAAAATTAACAATCTGTAACCTTTTTGTGTGAGAAATCAGAATTCTCGGGGTTTATGTAAATGACAGAGACTTGAGAGTTCTCAAGCCTTCGATTTACAAAGCTTTCATTAAACTGTGATATTAAGGGATGCTCATACCTAACTGCAGAGTCAGGTTGGGCCTGCTTTCTTTCCCCTTTTGCCACATGTCCCAGAGGGCAGCCATTTCTTACCCAGCACAAGCCTCTAAATGGACTGCTGGATGGACATATTCCTAGGATGATGGGATGTCTGCATAGTGATCATGCATGGTGCCGTGTGAGTCAGATTGGTAAAGTCCTCTCAGGAACTGGATCAATGTGGGTCCATCTTGATTTATGTCTTGCACATATTAATTTTTAACTTTACTGCTATTCATAATCCCTTGGCAGAAGTGTGGGGGTGGAATTCTCTCCTTGTAGAAATTTTACAAAAGCAAGCCTGATTCTTTCCCTTCCCTTTCTTTCCTCAAAATAGAGTCAGCTTAAGATAATTAGGTAATTCAAAGTGTAACTATTTGATTTTCAGCATTATCAAAATTTCAGAAATTATTAGGGAATATGTATATCGGTGTATATATATTATAGTTATGCATTACTTTACTACACTATAATTTGATTTCAGAATAACAAATGCAGTGATGAATATGTTAGAAAAATTTTCAGAAATGATATCTCCTTTTTCTTTTATTATGTCACAGATTGGATGAATTTGTTTTAGTTATTTTAAATTTTATTTTATATTTTGTTTTACTATACTAGGGATTGAAGTCAGGACCTTCTGCTTGCTAAGAAAGTATGTTACTGCTTGAGCTACAAGAAGTAGCTTGTAGCTACTTTTTGTTTGTTTTTCAGATAGGGTATCATCCCTAACTTTCCCTAGGCTGGCATCAAACCCTGATCCGTTTGTCTCTACTGCTGAGTAGCTGAGTAGCTGGATTATAAGTATGCCACCATTCCCAGACTGCATCTGCATTTTTAGGTCTTCATTGATATGTTTGAACTTTGTGTCTTTGGCAGAACAGTTACATATTACTTAAAGTTAGTGATATATCCTAGAATGAGTTGGCAGGTGATTTCTGTCATTGTGTGAACATCATAGAGGTTTCATACATAAACAGAGATGGCTGAGAGATATCTGAGTGACATGATCTCATGAGACCACATGTGGTCTGTTATTGAGTGAAACATCATTGTGTAGTACATATCTATATTTGATTCAATGAACTCTGAAGTTGTATTAACACATTCTTAAATTGATAAGAACTATTTTTCAAAGAAGGTGGTGGTGGGGGCAAAGGTGAAGGTGGATGGATTTGGCAGAACTACCAAACTGACAAGAGTGTATTTTCTTTCTTTCTTTCTTTCCTTTTTTGTTTTTTTTTTGAAGGAGCAATGTCAGGAGGTTTTAATTTTCAGGTTACTGATGGATTGAACCTTGCACCTCGACAAATCTTTAGCATCACCGCTCGAGCTCTGATCATTAGCTTAGAAATAAACAGAGGTTTAAGCATCTTTCCAGGTAAGAGTTTTAACAAGTTTTTGGGGGAAGGGGATGGGAAGAAGCCCCAAAGTGTTTTTCTGTTTGTTAAGACAGCTGCATTGTACAAAGTGTTGTTTTATTGTAGCATGGCGCCAACCACATTGAGAAAGCCCCAGAAAGAATTCCGTCTCTGCAAGAATTTAATGGAAGCAGGACTGGGCTCTCTGAAACCCTTCTGTCTTTCTCTTTCCCTCATGCTGGAGGACATGCCAGTGCAGAGTCACCAAAGCGACCATCTTCACGGTCCAACATGCACTGTTCTACTCTCTATGCAGAATTCATGCAGAGCAGAGAACCAGGCTGTATGTGCCCATCGCTTTCTTGGGATTTTTGTATTTGGAATATAAAAACCCTGTGCAGTACTGGGAGGTGTCCATGGTTTCAGTGAGTGAAGTTCTAGATGGTTCTTTGCCAAGAATCTCAGCCTGGCTGACATAGAAGGAGCTAAATGAGCTGTTCTGGCCAATACTCACATTGCACAGAAGGGGAAAGATTTATCCGATGGCAGAGGCAAATTAAAAAGGAGAGAAAAAATTGAATTTGTTATTTCAAAAAAAAAGCACTGAAGTGGAAACATGGGAAATCATAAAATTTTATCATACCCTGAATATTGGTGGAGGAGAGGAGGAAGCCAAAAGCAACTTTGCACATCATGAGATTTGCTCAGGTGATATGCTTTACCAGTAAAGAATAGATGGAGAAAGATATTATTTAAAAAAATTAATTGTTGTTGTACTAGCTTGTGTTTCCAACTGCTGGGAAGCTCTTTAAAATAGCCATGTCAATCAGGCATATAATCCTATCTACTCAGGAACTGAGGCCTGAGGATCATGGTTCAAAGCCAGCCTAGGCAGGAAAGTTCTTGAAACTATTATCTCCAATTAATCACGAAGAGAAAAAGAAGGCTGGAAGTGGAGCTGTAACTCAAATGGTTAAATACTAGTCTTGAGCACAAAATCTTAGGGACAGTGCCCAGGCACTGAGTTCAAACCCCAGGTGCAGCACCCCACCCCCCACCTCAAAAAAAGAGAACAATGTCTGGTTATCTTAGACTAGTTAAGCGAGAGTCTCTGAAATGGACTGGGCATAACTTTTAAAAATCTTAGTTGGTCCTAAAATGGAATAGGGATTGGAATCCATGGGTCTGGCCTCTGCCAGTCCTTCAGTCTCTGCAGTTGACACAAGGTAGGCCATATAATCAGGAATCTGGCAGGCTTTGTGGCTTCAAGAAGGAATGTAACTTGGCCAGGAAACAGTGAAGGGTGGAGGGCTCTCACACTTACGTAGTGGACTTCAGTGAAAATGACTTTCTGCTTGTTACTATTTTTTGAAAGACTGCTTTTAAGGGAGATTTTGAAATTTTTAGTTATCCTCAGCCTTTGAGTTTATGAAAAGAAAGATTTTTAAAAAAAGTACAGCATAAACTGTGTTAACCAAGATCCTTCTATTTTTAAAGCTTCTTTTTCTATTCTAAATTTCTTTTCCTGAGAATCGTGTAATGCTTCTCTCAGTTTTTTTTCCCAAGGCAATTAGTGTTTAAAGACATAAACAAGCAAACAATTATACCCTGGTAATATGAACAATTGGGTACACTATTAAAATATTCTATAATCAGGGTTTATTGCAACAAACTAAACACTGTTCATCTATTCTGGCTACAGAGATCTTGTTTAATAACCGATGACAATTAGTTATATCAAAGGAGGGGCAGAATGACTACACCTTACAGACTTTCAAATTTCTGGGTCTTGTTTTACTTACTATTGTTTGGAAATGGAAAATTTATTAAAGTGGCCAAAATTCCTTTGTCACCTTTCTAGAACGATATAAAACATACTTTTCATAGGTGTCTGCCTAGCATTGGACACAGCCTTAAGTAACTGTCTTTTTCCTTTTCCAAGAAGCCTCACATCTGCCTCCATATGTTCCAAAACTCACTAGTGGAACTTGCATATTTTTCTCAGATCCCAAAGAGAGCCACTCTCTTTCCCAAGCTCCCTCTGACTTGTTAGTTCTGTTAGTATTCCTGGTTTCTCTGACACTGTCTGTCTCTACAATGTGACTTGTTTCCTGGATTAGCTCCTGGCCAGGAGGAAAGAAAACAGATTTTTTTCACATGCATTTCCATTGAGTGGCTTTTGCAGTTGACAAAAATCTCAATTTGAGAGGGAATGAAAATGAGAACTGTGCAATTACAGACTGTACAGTCAGGGTAGACATTTTACAGATCATTCAAGTTGATGATGGTGCTTTTTTTCAGCCCAAATATTCTCAGGTAGCAATGACCCAACAGTTGAATTTTCATATATGAGCATGATTTTGGTGAACATGTCCTCTCTTCTTTCCAGGTACCCAACTGAGTTTTGCTTTGCTTGGCTTCTGTAGCAGGGATTGTTGGTTCCTGCTTCTGTGTGATAGTGTTCCATGTCCCATTTTACATTTTCCCTTAGACTTCCAGCCCCAACCTTTTCATATAAGAGAAGGGAGGCTGCATTCTGCCTTGGGTGGGAGACTTAAGATGTCAGGTATATGCTACTGCTGACCTATATACCTTGATGACCTCTATGTTCTAAAATAGCATGGAAATCTGTTGCTTTCTATAGGACTACATATGAAAATCTGTTCCTATTACATATTGTATATTCAAATGCTGATACTCTGTGCTTTTATGATGTTTTCTATTTTTCATCTTCCACAATGGGATCCTATAAGGATTTAAATTAAATAAAGTATGTATATGGAAGTTTTGATCATTCTCTTTTGGGAAGTAAAAGGGAAGGGTCAGGATTGTGTAACTGATAGTAGTTTTAGGATGCCAGATGGAATGGTGACCTTTATCTCAAATCCTGTGCTCACATCAGGCACTGGGTTTCACAGGCCCCCTTTCCTTTCTATGGAGGCTTTCGTTGCAGGGTTGTCTCTGTTTTAGAAGCCAGTTTCCTGACCATGGGGTTTTGTTTTGGGCAGTACTGGATATTGAACTCAGGGCTTCAAGTTTGCTAGGCAGCTGCTCTACTGCTTGAGCCATAACTCTAGTCCCTGATAGAAGTTCTTCTCAGTATTCTTGTATTCTTCTCAGTGTTATTGATATATTAACATGAACAACCAGAGGGGGAAAAATATCTATCTATCTATCTATCTATCTATCTACCTATCTATCTACCTATCTATCTAAAGTGAGCAAACAATGGTCATATAGAAATGTTGTGCATCTTACTGTGTTTGATTAAAGATCTATTTCAACCTGGCATTAGTTAATATTAAAATTCATATTGGTCCCATACCATTTGGATTTTCTCTGCCAGCTCTCCAGACTTTGGCTGTTTCTGTCCTGGCTCCTGTATGTACTCACACTTGGTCATAAAAAGTGGACCTGGCCCAAGACTTGTAAGAATTGTATAACAAGCCAAAATAACTATTGGCATACATAGTGAGGTGAATGTTTTAGTCTAATCATAGCTTCTGTGCTTCGCCAAATTTGAAAATTGGTTTTTAACTTAAAGTAGGAAAGGAGTTTGCTTCTAAGTGAAATGCCTACATAATATTTTAATTTTCCATCTTATTTTTCATATATATTGTAGCTATGTGGATAATATTTACATATGTAAAATATAGGCATACAATATATATGTACATATATACTTACATATTTAATTGAAACATATTTTATTCCTTTCTGCAAGACTTATTCCTCAGAAAAAGGAACATTTTGTTACAATGTTTTCACATTGACTGCTATAATTGGTTTTGTTTATCTTTAGGGTGGCAGGTTAGAATATATGTTGCCTTAGGATCTAGATTTTCAATTTCTCCAAATAGTACTTGGATCTATTTCAAGAAAATTGACTTTGAGAATTTTGCTATAATGCTCTAGTTAGACCCAAAATGAAGTAGCCCACTGCCTAGCCTATAACTTTAGTCTCTTTGGTCATGGTATGGCATCTCCTCAAGAGACCATCTGTCTTCCTGGAAGAAATTTAAGGAGAGAAGGGAAAGGGATTAAACACATGATGCTGAAGGGTTTAGAACAGAGATTCATAAAACTTTTTAGTCAATGAATCTTGACACACTGAATTGAATATTTTAAATCTTAGTAGGAGATAACCAAGAACTATAAGGAAAGATAGCTAGTTCTCAAGGAAACAATTAAAGGCTTATTGCTAGGTGGAATAAGGAACACATAATCAAGAGTAGAATCATCATGCAGAATACACAATAGTAAGTGACCAGCAAGTGATAGAGTGAGTGCTACATGGGTACAGAGGGGGGTCTTCCCATAGACTGGAATAGCCAGGGACCACTGGTCACTAAGACAGCCTTGAGTTGCCCCTACAGAATGAGTAGCATTGTGGTAGGTGGCACAATGGAGGGGTGAGCGTGCCAAGGAGGGTAGCACTACTTGGAAGTGAGAACAAAGGAAGAGGAGGGTCTCTTGGGAAGGGGGGAGGGGGAGAAAATCTCTCAGAATGATTAATCACATAATTTCCTAACTCAGATATCATTGTACCCATTGAGCTCAGTGTAGAATGACATAAGCCATACAGTATTAAGATTAAAGCTGTTCACTTCTGAGTGAAATGTAAGTCCACTTAGCCTTGACCATTGGGTGAGGTGCTTAACTTCTGATACCTGTAAAAATTATTATACTTTCTTAGTGAAGGGATAACAACTACACGCTTCTTAGGGTTACTGTGATATCTTGAAAGGACAGATCTTGAAAACTAAAGGTAAATTGCTATATGAACCCATTGTACCACTCCTAAGCATATATATGAAAGAATGCAAGTCAACTTACAGTCAAGATACCTGCACACTTGTGTTTATAGCAGCACTATCCATAATAACCAAAACACAGAATCAGTCTAGGTATCTACTGACTGACAAATAAGGAATACACACACGCACAGACACACACACACACACATAAGGAATATATATATATATGTATATATACATATGTACATATATATGTATATATACATATACACATACACACACATAAGGAATATATATATGTATATATACATATGTACATATATATGTATATATACATATACACATACATATACACACACACACACACACACACACACACACACACCATGGACTATTATTAGGCTAAAAGGAAGAGTGAAATTACATCATTTGCAGGAAAATGGGTGGAAGTGGAGATCATCATGTTAAGTAAAATAAATCACTGAAGAAGTCAAATATCTCTTATATACAAAATCTAGCCGTTAATAATGAAGTATAGGATTGTAAAACAATTTCTGTTTCTGGCGAGATACTACAGGAGGGGGAGGGAGAAAGGAGAGAGAGTATGAGGGGGTGAATATGATTCAACTACTTTATACACAGGAATAAAATGAAACCCATTGAAATTGTTAGAAGTGATGGGGAAAGGTAGTGGAGTTGGATTTAATGGAGGTACATTGTATATGTATATGGAAGCATCACAGTGAAACTCCTTTCTATGAATAATATATGCTAATAAGAATATAAAAAATACAGGGAGCTAGAATAATTTTTCCTGGGTTTCAATCCTGATTCACCATTACAAAGCTTTGTTGCTTTGGGTAAGTGACTCAGTGTCTTATTGCCTCTGTTTGGTCATCTGGGATAATACTCACCCCAGTTTCAGGGTAGTAAAAGGGTGATGTGCATCAAGAACATAGGAAACGACCAGCACACACTTGTGCATATAGAATAGTTAATATTGATACTTTCTTGTGTACTGCACTGAGGCTTGTTTCACTAAGTAACTGCTGAAAAGAGAAGAGAAAGAACCATGTTTAAATTCCAGATATCAAGTTAACAGGATAGATTTGATACTTAACAATATTTTTTATACTTACAGGGCACATTTCTTCTGGCTCATAGGACTGAATTCACAGATCAGTAGTCCTGACTTTTTAAGAGATGGCCAATAAATACGTGATTTGTTGCCTAACGAGAAAACAAGGGAATGGGAAAAAGGAAGAGGAAGAGGAAAGGGAAAGGGGAAGGAAAAAGATAAAGAAAGGGACAGTAGCAAGGGAGGGGCAGGGGCAGGGCAGGGCAAGGCAGGGCAAACAAGTTCATGATATTTCTAAGTACAAGTTGAGTATACTTTATCTGAAATTGTTTTGACTGTTTGCATATACATGATGAATTATCTTGGGTATGGAAATTAAGTATGAACTATTTATGTTTTCCATATACTTTATCATATAGTCTCCTTTCCGTGTAATTGTACAGCAGAAGTTATTTTTGGTGTACTTGAGGTTTGGCTATAATCCATCCCATCCATTGATGAGGTCACGTTGGGGTTTGATAGGTTTCAAATTTTGGAGCATTTTATATGCTGGCTTTTTGGGTTGGGGTGCTTGGCCTCTGGATCTCCTCTGCTCCTTATTGTAGGGATTTTCACACATTAACTCCTCAATATTTGTGGAAGAAGTACAAAAGCCTCAATGCCCGGTGATCATGAAACTCTTGCTATTATGGTAGTAGTACGTTTCATGAGTAACTGGGATTTAAGGATGTTTGAGAAATGCTTTGTTTAGAAGGAGGATCAAACCAATGAGCAGCTTTCCTTTGTTCTGAGACTTTGCAGTGGCTTTTCAAACCTCCCAGGAGTGCCGGTGGAGTGAGGGCTTGCCAAACAATTACAGTCCTCAGCACTCAGGACCTGGCCTTTTATAGGACAAACATTTTATGGATAAAGACATAGCTGGGACCTTACAGAAGTCATTCCCAAAACAAGTGTTGGGAGCTCCCTAATGCCAACAACTTGGATGACATAAGGTGGGAGGGGAGAAGAGGACATTTGGCTTTTGTTGAGTTGGGCTGGGCTTTAGAGGTGCCTTTAGGAATTTGCAGCATGATTGAGCTGCTCTTGCTGATTGAGCAATTCAGAGTGCTTGCTGAGTAGAAAGGAAACTTCGATACCATTCTGGCTTAGGTGGTGGATGAAAGAAGGAGAGATGAATAGATCCTTCCATTTGGTGCTGGAATAGCTCTGGTGGGTTCTCAGCCCCAAAGGCTGAGATAAATGAAATGATATTTTCACAATTTATTTTCTAGTTAACAGATGGCTCTTTTAGTAATCTCTGTGGGGGTACACTGTGATATTTCAGTGCATTCATGCATTGCATGGTGATTAACTTGGGTTATCTATAACCTCTAATATGTTTTATTTCTTAATGATAAAATATTCAAAGTCCTTTTCTCCGAGTAATTTTAGATTATGCAATGCAATAGTGTGGGCTTTAGTCATCCTTCTGCATAACTGTACAGCAGAATTTATTTCTTCTATTTGCTTGTGACTTTTTGCCCATTGGCCAGTCTCCTCCATCACCTGTTTCCTCTACCCTTCTTGTTCTCTGCTATGCACTATTCTGCTCTCTACTTCTCAGCTTCTTAGGTTCTCTACATCCAAGTGAACTATACGACATCTGTCTTTCTGTGCCTAATTTATTTCACTTAACATTATGACCTCCAGGTCCCATTTGCATGGTCACAAATGACAAGATCTCATCCCTTTATAGCTAAATAATATTCCATTGTGTTTACTTACCCTGTTTTATTTACCCACTTACCTAGTGATGGACACTTAGGTTGATTCTATGTCTGAGAGTCCAGATACTTTTAAAAAAAACTCCATATTTCAAAATATATTTCATATAATTTGGATTGGAAGAAGTAACATTTCTTTAAAAAAGGAAAAGAAGCCCTTTGACTAACTCCTCCCTTAGAGGTAAAATTTAGGTGGTGAAAGAAGAAGTATATAACTATAAATTAGGGTCCTTTATAAGAAGGAAGTAATTAAGAAAGTACAGTGGGAAAATGTTCCAGAGAAAAAATGAAGATGGAACTGTTGGATGCTGGGATGCTTAGGGACCAACCAAACACACATGAGACATAGGAAATTTATATTATAGGAAGTGCTTGCCTTGAAGGAAACAGAATGAGCCCCAGTGAGAACTTTGTAACAGCAACTATGGACACACTAGCGTTGCTCTTCACCTCTCTATTGTGACTTCCATCTTGGTTCCCAGCTTCAAAGCCAGAAAGAAGCCACAACTGCAAAAAAAAATTCAGCAGCAAGAAGTGAGAGGAACGAGGAAGGCAGTTACAAACATCACCTGAGCATTGTGTAACAACCCAAACTTGTTCCTGAAGCTGACATTCACAAGTTCACCAGCCTTACTACAAGGATGTGGTGCTCATCTCAGAAAAGCTGAGAACAATCCTTAAAAATCTGGAGAGCATCCACACTCGAAGCTGGTTTTTCCTCCAAATTAGCAAATGCCTAATGTGTTTTAAACACTACATCTGGTGGCTTTTGCTCTAAGACTACAAAGCACTAGTAGAAAAAGCAAACCCAGATGTCATCCAGGGTGCTTAGTTATCATTGGTTGGTTGATTCAACCTCACAAATAATGCATAATGTGCCTACTCAACAGGGCTACCCTTTCCCAAGGGCTAGAACTGAAGTGATGAAGACTGGAAAGAGGAAGTGAGTCTTTTCAGACTTCCCTTCCTATGAGAATGTCCCCTAAATCATGACAGAATAAAGGGATGATCTCTGACCCTGTACTCCTCCAAGTGTGGTCCATGGACCTTCCATTCTAGGAACTGATAAGAATGGAAAGCAAGAGAAAGTGTTTAGAAATTTTTATAGTAGTTTGGCATTGCCATGACATCTTTATTGTATTGTGCACATTATTGGTCCACAGTGGAGGAAGGAAACACTGATCCTTCTCCACAGAGCATCTAAAAAAGCATGAGGCTAACCTTAGTGTCCCCAAGTTCTCTGGCCTCTTGATACCAATGAGATTGTATTAACATCAAAACTTATGTGTTGCTAGTTCTTTCTGCCTCAGTGTTCATGCTGACCTTTGCTCCCCAGAAAATAGCTCATGTTTGTTCAAAAGCCAATTCCCACTCTCCAAAGGGGTGCACAGTCTCTTGTGTTGTAAGTACCACACGATCTGTTTCTCTGCTCATAACCCTGGGCCCAGCTAGATGCCATGCAAGCCTCGACCTTGCCTTCCTTCCCTAGAGATCAGTTAGATATCTCGCCTGTGCAGAGGGAGGGAAAGGGAAATTGATTTCCTGGGGTCACAAGAACAAATGGTACCCACAAAGAGACACCTCAGGGACTACTAGCCTCTCATAGCTCCATTTCTAGTTAGGGCTGGCCAGTCAATCTCCGCATTCATAACCATGCAGTTTCCAGGAGTTGTCAGGGGTCTATCAAGATGATTGCATTAGCTGGCCATTTTCTTTTGCATTATATTGACACACATGTCTTGATCTTTACTCAGGATCTACAAAGCCTCTTTCATCTCGTGACCTGAAAGCTGTGACCAATGACGAAAGTGCAGGAAACAGAACTGTAACTTTCACAGTCGTAAGTTCCCCTAGTCTTGGGAGGTTGCTGAGAATGAACGCTGACAATAGCACTGAAGATGTTTCCATTTTTACCCAATATCTGGTGAGTCTTGACGTGTGTAGCCTCCGGGCAGGGCTGCATGTTAGGGCAGGGCAACCTTCTCATCTATCTTTGTCCTGCTAAGACAAATAGGCCCCACTGCCCAGTCAATTACTCACTTCAGCTGGGCTGGCTTAAAATAGGACACATAGGAAGCACAAGATGAGACACAATTACCAGAGAAACATTACACTAGTTTCAACTCTGTGACTCATAAATACAAAGGGATCTTTGTATCAATAAAGTTGGGCATATAAGGAAATCCATAGCACAGTTGCTGGAGTGAATCCTGCATTATGTATGTATCTGTTTGTGTTTATACATGATACTTTATACACTCTTTAAATATGAATGTGTGTGTATGTATGTGTGATGCATATCCAAAGCCAAGTGTTTTAAACTTAACTGGCACTTTCTTATAGAGCTATCATCCACAACCTCCTTTTTTGATGTGTGTTTGTCAGTACTAGTGTCTTTGCTTAGCTTATTTTGCCCAAGGCTGGCACTACCCCTGGAGCCATAGCTCTACTTCCAGCTTTTGGCTGGTTAATTGAAGGTTAGACTCTCTGAGTTGTTCGCCCAGGCTGGCTTTGAACCTCAATTCTCAGATCTCAGCCTTCTGAGCAGCTAGAATTACAGGCATTATCATATCCAGGAAACATGAGCAGTGGGTAGTACTCACCACAGCAAATGAAGTGTCATGTTGAGTCTCAGGGATACACAATGGTGTCTGAGAGCCTTTGGTTCCTATGGAACAGGAGTTGGCTCCCATATGGAACCTGGGCAGTTCCACAAGACAGGAGAGAGGGAAGTTTCATTGTCCCAAATAGGCCAAGGTGTTTGGCTCTTTTCCCCATGTAGCTTTTCCTCTCCAGAGCAGAAACCTGCCATACCAATGGCCTTGTTTAGTGCTCTGACTCAAAAGACAAAAGAGAGATTGTTTCATTATCCACAGGCCTTTTAAACAAGGTATTGCCCTGACTTGACAATTCCATTCTCTTTAAAATAAGATCTTGGATATAGGTGCAGTCTGCTGAATTCAACACAGCTCCCTATGATTCCTCCACTTTGAGTGTGGTGTGGAGAGAATTGATTATTTAGAACCCTGTTTCTTGTTCTTCATCTCCTGCTAACTACTAGTGACTGAGCACAAGTTCCTTGACTTCTAAAGCCAGATGATCTGGATTAATTCTGTGGTTTAAGGCAAATTACAAATCCTTTAGTCCTTAGCTTTTCTTCATCTTGTAAATGGGAAAAACAATAGCAATGATCATTGAACCATTTCAAGCATTCACCATACACCAAACACTGTTCCTGGTGTACTGTAGGAATTGTATTGTATTCCTCATCCCCCATAGACTTAGATTCTAAAATGTGAGAGTTCATACAACTTCCCCACAGGTGCATGACTTAGAAGCGGCAGAGGTAGGACTTGAACACAGAACCTATGATTGTAGGTCATGTTCCTTTCAACTAAGCCATGCCTTCCTTCTAGTGTTTAAACGTGAAATGAGACAATAATAGTAACAGATGTAAAGTGCTTAGCATTCCCCCATTGCTTAACTTAAGGCTCCTTTTCCCCCCATCAATTAGAAAATATTTTATTGTTTTTGTAGAGGTGATGTACAGAGGGTTACGGGTACATAAGTTGGGCGATGAGTCCATTTCTTTGTGAATCATACCACCCCTTCCCTTGCTCTCTCCCAGTTGCTCCCTCCCAGCTCCAATCACCGGTTGTATAGTTCATTTTCCACAGTGGCTAGTGAACACCTCTGGTATATTTGTTCACCCTCTGTCACACTTTTACTGTGCCCTCTTTATCCTCCCAAAGACCAATAAACTACCAAACAAGACAAAAGGAAGAGACAACAAAAACAGCCGCAGCAACAACACATCTTTCGTTTCCATTTTTTTTTTTTTGGGGTCCAGTTGTGGGGCCTGAACTCTGGGCCTGGGCGCTGTCCCTCAGCTCTTCAGCTCAAGGCTAGCGCTCTACCACTTGAGCCACAGCGCCACTTCCGGCTTTTTTCTTTTTGCTTATGTAGTGCTGAGGAATCGAACCCAGGGCTTTGAGCATACAAGGCAAGCGCTCTACCACTGAGCCACCGTCCCAGCCCCTCGTTTCCATTTCTTGGACTTCATTTTGTGAAATGTTATTTTATATGATCATATACACATTAACTTAGGGACTTTAATGTGGAGACCACACTTTGAATGAATAGGAGAGACCCAGATGATATAAAGATTTTATATCACACAGCACACCCAGAAGCTACAGTTGTACAACATTCAAGATGCTCATGGATATAGAATGGAACACAAGGAACCAATGCCTCTATTGGGCCCAGAGTGTTATCTAAACATATTTCCCAAGGGGACTTTGACTTGGTAGGATTTAGACAGTTAGCCACAAGTTCCAAAGGGGCCACAGAGTGATGGAGAGATGATCACTGTGGCTTATCTGTACCGCCCCTCTGGGGCGTCAGTGGGGTCAGTTACAGAGGCTGAATTTACTGTCCCTTTAGGAAGTGGTTGCCAGGAAGCCGTTGTTTAAGGTGAATATCAGGGGTGATGCTGGTCAAGAAGCATTGGATGTACAGTTTGACTTGCTGAATTGACACCCCTTGGTACAATTACTTTAAAATAACAATAATAATAATTAATAAAAGGTGACTATCTGGATTATGCATGTTGAAGAATCAGGGTGAAGGGTAGACCTGGAAATGGATGTCAAGTGTTGGTGCGCACTGCTTTTGGGTCTGACAAAGTCCAGCTGATACTCAACATGGATACTGAGGTAACAGGAAATGCCAAGAATAACAAACATGAATTGGATGACAGCAAATGTTGATGTTATTATTCTTTTGTTCCTGAAAAGGCAAAAGACCCTTTCATCTCTTGGTAGGTGAAGGATGAGTTCCCCAAAGGAAAGCAATTTTCTGGAACATCGGTGTGTTTACCCTAATGTGTTATCTAATTGAATGAGTGGTAAAGGGGTCATCAGAGGGGAGTGACATCTGCTTCACCTTATAACCCATCCTTGTCCTTCTCCCTGCCGGGAGCTTCTCTGGTGTTCCCAAATGCATTTCCCTGGGCGTAATGAGAAGAGAGGGCTGAGGAAGGTTAAGGGGGCCTGCATCAAGTACTCCATCCTTTGCCAACGTACAGGCTGGAGAAGGAATGAAGCCTAGAGATGGAGATACTGAAGCACTCAGAGCAAAGCAGACATGATGGAAAGACTAATAATCATGAAAGCAGTTGACACTGCTGCAGCTGAAGGGAGGCATTTCCTAGGGTATGTCTGGCTACGTTTATAAGCTTGTCACTGGAATTCCCTGCCGACCCATTTCACCTCAATCACTATCAATAACATTTTACATCCAAACTGTAGCCCCAAAATAAGATCCGAAAACATAAAGATTTTACGTTTATATCAAGTAAGAGCAGAGCCTTGCCTTGTAAGTACAGCACAATGGGTATTAATCAGAAAGTTAGCTCTTATGTGCAAAAATGCACATTTTAATTTGTGATTTGGGAAGAGGAAGACATTTGTTACTTCCTTTTCCTGGCTTTTCCCTTCCCAGATTCTGTCTCCTTTTTTTTAAAACCTTCAGATGAATATGGATCTCTGCCTAAAACCAGCAGTTTTATAGCCTGAGTTAAATAATTCCCTGGTCAGCTGTCAGCCATTTTTTCATGGCTCAGATTTACTGCTCAGCCACTTTAGAATATTTTGGAAAGTAGAAGAAGTGGGGAACAGCTAGGCAGCGGTGGCTTACACTTACAATCTTTGCTACTTGCTTCAGGTCCTGGGTTCAATCTTTAGTGTGCCTAAAGGAATGTTTTTCTTTGAAATACTCAATGAAGATACTTATTAACACATACCATGGGCTCTGTTCACTTCTCTTCCATCTGGTTGGTGACAAAAGCAAAGAATATTCAAAACAATTTTAATTTTTTTGGCAGTATCTGGGCTTTGACCTCATAACCTTGAGTTTACTAGACAGATGCTTCATTATTTGAGCCACACCTCTAGCCCTTTGTGCCTTAGTTTATTTTTCAGAGAGCCTCATGTTTTTGCCTAGCACAGCATCATGCCTACTTTTTGTTGCTGTTGTTATTTGAACTTGCTAAGAAGGTGTTATATTGCTGAACCAGACCTACATCCTCCCCAGCCTTGTTTGGTGAGTTCAGGTCTTATTAACTTATTTCTTTTTCTTTTCTTTCTTTCTTTCTTTTGTTTGTTTGTTTGTTTGTTTTTTGCCTGAGGTTGCCTAGAACAGTGGTCTTTCCAGCCGAGTACCTGTGTTTAAAGGAAACAATTTCCTACCTTCCTTCCTGCCTCCCTCCCTCCTTCCTTTCCTTTCCTTTCCTTTCCTTTCCTTTCCTTTCCTTTCCTCTTTCCTCTTTCCTTTCCTTTCCCCTCCCTCCCTCCTTCCTTCCCTCCCTCTCCTTCTTTCCTTCCTTCCTTCCTTCCTTCCTTCCTTCCTTCCTTCTTTCCTTCCTTCCTTCCTTCCTTCCTTCATTGGTGTTAGGAGTTACCCTGAAAGCAACTTTGTCAAGCAGGTTCTCTACCCTTTGAGCCACCTTTTCAGACCCTTTTTACATTGGTTTATGCCCACAGTAGCTGGAGTTACAATCCTTGTACTTGTGTTTCCTCTTGTCACTAGGGTGATAAGCATGAACTCACCACTGCACTTAGCCACTGTGCTTCCCCTCTAGCTGAAATCACAGGCATGGATGACTATGCCCAGCCATTGGTTCAAATGGAGTGCTCAGGCTGGCCTCAAACTATGATATCCCAACCTTTGCCTTTAAGCCAGCTAGACTTAGAGAGGCTTGAGCCACTCTGCCCAGCAACAGAAAACAATTTATTTTAAAAAGAGCTCAAAATTGTTCAGGCATATGTAATGTATCAAATGGTTTTGATTACTGTTTGGCTTCCTAGACTACTTTTTCTAATCTCGAGTTAGTTCCAGCCAGTAACTTGCCAAGTATCCAAC